GTGGGGTATCTACTGACCATCCACGTTTGTTAAGGGCCAAGGGCCCTGTCTACAGCTACACCTAGCAAGCACAAGTGAAACTCAGCCCCTCCCCCCCTCCCCCGCCCCATAGGAAGTACACGAGACATGATCATGATCATCAGACCTAACCATAGGCGAAGTGCTCCAACAGCCCTCCCAAAGCCCGATACCAGCATACTACAACCCTGGACTATGCCCCTTGGGTGGCACGCAGGCAGTGTCTGTACTCCTTGCTATGTGTCAGCCCAAGTGGGGTGTGTGAATGGCCGTGCATTGGTCAACGCCCGCCGGTGTCCACCCGTGAGGGCGCAGAATTTTGAACCCGCAACCTCGGACCACAAAGTGCATTTCCAACCAGTGCTCCACCCACTGAGCTACCGGTCATCCACCCTCCACCTACCTTTTTTTTTTTTTCCCAAAAAAACACTCCCAGACCCTTCCATTCTGGGGGGCATCAGTCCGGTTGCTTATCACTGGCAAGCGAAGTTTTCGAAACAAGCAGCGGGGTGGCTTGCTCTGCCTGTTCAAGGGGGGGTTGCTTCAGCGCCACCCGCTCCCAGCCTTTGGCCTTTCCTTGGGGATTGTCCTGCAAGTCGGCAGGCTTACTAGCAGCACCCAGGCACGCTGCAGGATAATCCCCAAGGGGTCAAGGCATGGGAGAGAGGGGTGCCCTGCCAGCCCCTCTGGCCACATGTTGCTTACTCACCCCATTCCCACCATGTCTACCTGGGCCCTGCATTCCGTCTGCCTCCTATCCCCACATCATCTGCATCCCTGAAACCTTCTGCCTTTATTGTCCCACACCTCCTGCCATCCAGTTTTCCTACCTGTGCTCCTATCTCCCTACTCCTAATCCTTGGTCTTATCTTCCTATTCATGGAATGCTTTCTTTTTCTTTTTTTTTTGTTTCTGTGATCACTGGACAACACATGTACACAAACACTGTGAACATGACAACACACGCACACACGCACGCACGCACACACACACACACACACACACACACACACACACACACACACACACACAACACACACACACACACACACACACACACACACACACACACACACANCACACACACACACACACACACACACACACACACACACACACACACACATGCACACATGCACTTACGCACCCACCCGCCCACCCCCCATCACACTCCGATGAAACGGTGCGGCAGAGTCACACTTTCTTCTGTGGAGTCCTGTATAGTGAAGATGAAAACACACACTAGGCAAGAGTGCTGAGGAAACACTAAGAAGGGATAGAAGTAGCCAAGAAGGGCAGAAACTATGGTAGTGTAATGACCCGCCAAACACAGACTGAGAACACTGCTGATTTCTGGGATTTGCCGCTGGAATGTATGCCTTGCTGAGATTCCCGCATTCTGCTGTGATTTCTAAGTCTGTAAGTGTGCATGCCTGCCGGTCTATGGGCCTGTCTGAGTGCTTGTCGGCCTGAGCGTGTGTGCGACCCGCAAGGATACTTGTTCGTTCGGAGGCCCCACAGGGCCGGTACTTACCCATAGCCGGGGTAGGCCCGCGACACTTAGAGCAGCTGGAAAAACACTGAAGTAGCAGGTAGGCCGGTACCACTCAAGTAGTGGTAGAAGTGTCGGGTGCTCGAGGCCGAGCAGAAGAAGACAAAAAGTTGGCATTTTTTAGAGGCCCGGTAGCGGTAGGCTTGAGGTAGGCCGGTACCAGTTCAAGTAGCCTGAGTCTAGGGCCTGTACGGACGATATCAGAGCCTGCAATGATGTTTCCCTCCGAAAGGTACAAGGTACCGGTTGCTGGGAGGCCGCCCCGCCTAGGAAGTCACCGCCCAAGAGGCAAGTAGGCTGCTATATCGTCTGGAGGAGCAAGTAGCTCCTTCTCATTTGCGGTGTGCAAGGTTGGGCAACATACCGCTTGAGCCAAGGCCTGGACTTGGGACCGCTGTCTGGGAGGTCGACGAAGGAGCTGGGTGCTCAGCCTGGCTATGGCGAGCAGCCCAGCTTGAGGAGGATAAGAAGGGGGCGAAGGAGGAGAGTGGCGAGGTACCTACCTGGCTATGGTGGACACCATCTTCATCACCTTGATAGGCGCTGCATCTGGAAGACCCCAGTTGGGGTAGTGCCGCACCAAGGAAGCTCGAGGCAGAGTCAGGCATGGCGGCCTGATGAGCAGCTGCATAGCTGCTTTATGTTGTCCTTTGCACAAGAGGGCAGAGCCCTTAGTAGTCCACCATAGCCTTGGCATGTGAGAGGAGGAAGACGGAGGGAAGCCATGGCTATAATGGACCTGTTGCTGTGCTAGCAGTAAGAGGGAACTTCGGATATTGATTCTGGTTCATCCACTCATTGTTACTATTATTATTTGGAAGAAGAATAAGATTGGCGAAGATGAGGAGGAGGAAGGTGGTGAGGATAAGGAGGAGGAGGAAGGTGGTGAGAAGGGGTATTTGTCATTGGTCTTGATGGTGTGCATCTTCTTCTTCTTCTTTTTCTTCTTCTTTTTCTTCTTCTTTTTCTTCTTCTTTCTCGCTTCTTCTTTGGTCTATATCTCTTTGCAAGTGCTTTCATTTCTTTCTCAATTGGGTGGCATTGTCTTTCCTTGTGAATTTGCACTTCGGAAATGACCAGGATCGTAAACTCAAATACAAGAGAGGTGCGCTCAGACTCGCGTGAGAGGGTCTTGAAACCTTGACGCGCTTAAGGGCCCCGCAGTGGCAGCCAAAACGCACAATGTCGGTCAACCCGCAGACAAACGCAGTACAATCAACACTCTGATGAACCACCAAGTCGCAGCGACAACCCCTCTTCAAAGTCATGTCATTCCTGGTGAAGCTCTGCTAGCAGACTGGGAGGGGACCGTTTGGACCTCGGATTTTACGCTACTTGGCATGACCATTTTCAGCTTGAGGCTTGAACATTTCCTGCTCAGCCTATGTGCTCCTGCTTCCATCGCTTCACAGCTCAGCACGGAGTTTTGATGTCTTGAGTTAAGAACTAGCGAGAACTTAAGAATCCTTTTTTCGCTTTTTTTTTTTGAAAAGTAGGGAGCTCTATTCTTCTCTCTCTATCAAAAAAGTGACCCTCTGGGTCATTTGGAAAAGGAGATGCCCAACTTTCGAAGAATCCAGCATTACCCCAGAAAACCCTCTCATAACCATTAAACAAATGGTAGAAACAGAATTCCACGCCCTACGGAACAAAACCCACCGTCAACTCCAGGCCCTACAGAACGCCCCGGACAAGAAACAGGAGATTACCAAAAAGTACACCTCCTGGAAGCTAGGCAATGTGAAGCTAGGAACAAAAGAGACGGAAAGACTGCTCCTTCAAGATTGGTTAATTATACCAGCGTCAAATAACCGAAATTCAACCACTCTCACACACTCCACACAAGCAAACCGCCTTGCCACACCTACCCACGATGGAGCAGACACTGCTTTATAAACACAGCGAACGCCACCAGGTACCTCCTGTCCTCGACCTCAACACACGGACCATCTCACCTTCCTAACGTCCATACCCACCGTCCCACCACAAAGCTGACACACCACCAACACTCGCAACATCCTGAACCCTAACCCTTGTTAATCACCACACAACTCCACATCAATATGATCACCCCTACCCCCCCAAACCTCACTGAACCACCCTCCTCATTCATCAATTACGAAACCCGGGATTTATAATTTGTTTCGCATATCAGCCCAAAGGCTCTCTACGCCCCCAACTTCAAACATGCCAGCGAGGCTTTAGGGTTTTTGCAAAAGACCGCAATAGCTACCAACTATAGGTTTCAGGTCAGCAAACCCCAGTGAAAAGTAAATCCTGCAGTTTTCACAACTTGAGTAACTCCGGCAATCAAGGAGTAGAGAAGTATAAGCAAGAAGGAACTAGGAATAGGAGTGGATTAGGTCTTCGACACCAAAATTAAGCAGGCTAGGGCGTAGGATTTTACAACCAAGCCAGAGAGGGTTTAGGGTTTAGCAAAGAGTTCAGCCAAAAAGGCCAAAGGCTCTCTACGCCCCCAACTTCAAACATGCCAGCGAGGATTTAGGGTTTTTGCAAAAGACCGCAATAGCTACCAACTATAGGGTCAGCAAACCCCAGTGAAAAGTAAATCCTGCAATTTTCACAACTTGAGTAACTCCGGCAATCAAGGGGTAGAGAAGTATAAGCAAGAAGGAACTAGGAATAGCAGTGGATTAGGTCTTCGACACCAAAATTAAGCAGGCTAGGGCGTAGGATTTTACAACCAAGCCAGAGAGGGTTTAGGGTTTAGCAAAGAGTTCAGCCAAAAAGGCCAAATTTAATCCGATGCAACATCATCGTCATCAACATTATCTATGCCCTAGACATGACAAGAGTGAACTCCACATGAAAATGGGCTTTTGCATCAGAATTTTCAATTTGAGTCTTTTTTTCCCCCATTTGTTTGTTGCGTATCCCCTAAAATGGATGGGCGGCAATCTGAATGTTCTGTTGTTTTCTCACAAATGACACAAAAACCAACTTGGTTTCCTGTGGGAGGCGGGGGATTGATCTGATTGACCTTCTGTCAGCTCTGTACTTGAAGACCTCATAGATTTGACGATCAGCTGTTGACTCCCATAACGAACAGGATAGGATGTCGACTCCCATGACGAACAGGATAAGATCCATGGTAACGTGAACAGTTTGCTTAACATGCTAAAATGAATTATTGGCTTTTCAACAGCGTTCCAGCCAGGCAAAACCAGAGAAGCTCTGCTTGTTTGTTTTCCCATGGTTAACATTGTTTTTTGTTTTTTTTTTTCAAACAAATTGGACCATTTCTCGATCTATGCGTGTCATCCTTGCGCAGGGGCCATGCTAATATTCTCCATGTCGTTCCAATTTAAATGGATGTCCCGAAGGACCATGGTCAACATTGTTATTCTATTCTTTCATTCTTCCAGTGCAACTGTCTCGGTTCCATTGGGGCAGTGTCTGTGTTTCTTACCTCACTCAAAGACTGGTGAGTATCCATCAGCTGCTTTTCCAACCGTCCGACATTCGCCTTACATGTTTCAGTTCGAGTTCTCCAATCCCTGGACTCGGACATCTGTTCCCTGTACATCTTCTTGTAATCCTCACTGTGGCACCAAGTGTACAGACACACACACACACACACACACACACACACACACACACACACACACACACACACACAGAGTACGGTTGTGAGATAAAAACCAGTAATACTTTGCCACAATACAATCATGAAAGCAATTTCATGAATTATAATTCAATTATTTGCAAAAGGACACGTTCGAAAACCACAGACCACAAAGCACACAGACAGAGGTGACGTGGCCTGCAACAGAAGGCATGATAAGACCGGTGATCAGACATATGTGGAAGAAGGTTCAGGAAGCTTTGGAAAAACCTAAGGTGTATGCAGAACTCCTAGAGCACTTTGAATCGAGAGATGGATCCGTTGGGAAGGTAGCACAGAAGGAAAACTGGTTCCTCAAATGGAAAAAATGGCACAACTCAAGGACAGGGAGGAAAGAGATGTGGATCAAGAGAGGCTTAGGTGAAGGATAAACTAGAGTCAGAACACAAGGCCACGTATCTGGAGTGGAATATGGAGTACATGCTTCTGCAAGCCTTGCCTAGTTTGCTGGCTTCGCAGGGCAGCGAGGAAGGACGGAGATCTAATCCAAGTGACAGTGCGGAGAATGGCGAGTGAGGAATGGCTGTGAGGGAGACGAGCAAATGTCGGCTGAGGGTTGGCTTTGGTCGTGGAAGACGTACTATTGAGGCACTCAAGGACTTCAGGGGAAAGGAGCTATCAACAGGAGGCGGGGGGAAGGGAGTGCCGCTTCTTCGCCACAGTTCTCCCTGACCAAATTTTGTTCCACTTTGTGTTATTGCTGTTGGCATTGCTCCTGTTGCCGCTGCTGCTACTTTTGTTGTTGTCGTCGTTGTCGGTGCGATATTGTTATTGTTGCTGCTTTTCTAGTGCATTAGTGTTGTTGTTGTTATTCTATTGCAATGTGGGACACTGTTTCGTCGGACTTTCACCGACTCATCAGGAGGTTGGACCTCGACAGCAGCATGTTCACAATGCCTCCCATCTGATGAACTGAATGGGAGACCAGTGACCAGCCATTCGGCAACTGGCAAATCAAACACATGAAACAAGGTGCTGCAAACACAGAACAGTCAAATTCACTGTCTGCACAGAGCCATCCTGGCTCACTCCCATGCCCTGCAAAATCCTGTGCTACAGGAACAGATGTCATCCCATGCTTTTCTCATGCAGTAACACAAATTTCAAAATCCCCCCAGGAGGTTTTGAAATTGCATCATTTCTCCTGTCAAAACCAAACCTCTCTCTCTCTCTCCCTCTCACACGCAGTGTTGGGGTACCCAAAGAATTCATATGCCAAGCCTTCTTGTACTTTGGGGAAAAATGTCAGGACAAAACGGTCAAGGACATCATCCTACAGATGGGAAGAATTTTGCATTACTCGAGAAAACTCCGAAATGTCGGTAACAGTCTGAGTAGTACAGCTAGCTGAGAGGTGGATAAAAGTTTAGGAATTTTTGAATTTTTGAAGCAGCCATGGAAACGGGTGGAATATCAAGCTGAATGGCACAAAACAGTCGATCGTATCAAGGACGACCCACCAAGAAACAAGACAGCATAGATAAATTCGGAAGGCCCGTCTGGGAACCGGTAAATTGGGCAGAATAGAGGGCGCCATAACGAGGCTGGTGTGGAAGCTGATGGATGACCGGAGGGTGGCTGCTTAAAGATGGCCGCCTCGCTTGGACCCGTCCGTTCACAAGGTTCCGGCATCAGCATAAACGCGGCACGAAAAACTGCGGTTTAGGGTTTAAGGGCATATGACATTTGGCTTCAGGACGAGGGATAAGAGTAAAACACATGCTCTGTAAGGGCCAAGGATTTAGGGTTCATCAGCGGGATAAAACAATTTTTGGCTGTAGGATGAAGGGCGGGAGTAAGTCAAAGCACCCGAGGCAGACAGGAGACTGTCCACATTGTGTTAGAGTGGGTCGTCGGACCGCTTTAGGGGAATAGCAACTGAGTCCCCCGGGTACCCCTGGGAGCCAGAGCCATTTGGCGCTGGCGCGGTTGTCAGGGGCGAGAACGAGCATTCCACTGACCAGCAAAATATGAGGCTAACTTAGTATGACACCCCTTTTTTTCCCCTTTTTTTTTTCAAAGCCCTTGTGCAAAACCTCTATCTTGGTAGTGATAATACTCCACATTCCCTCATTGAGGAAGTTTTGGACAGAAAACGGTACACCACAAGAGAAACCAGATTTTCTTCTTTCCACAGGACTAGGCGTCCACCGAGGGACAAAAGTGATGTGGCTGAGGGAGCGCATTCGGGTTCTTGAAAGTAGTTCTTCATTCAGGAAGCAGGAGATCCCCTACTCTTTCGCCAAGGAATTTCTGTAAACCTGGGGCTAAGATCCAATGGCCGGATTTGTGCTTCAGCCTCTCCTTGCACACTGTGTCCCCCATCTCTGGCGAGTCGGTTGGAATATCGTCGAAAAGAGCGGTATGTAGAGTCTGAAAAAAAATTACGCAAATGTCGCCGTTTTTATGTTACGAATGGGAAAATCAGCAGACTAGGACTGTGGAGTACCAACCTTAGGCAGGGGTGAGGGGGGGTATATCCCTCCCAAGGGAAGTAATCAACTCCGTCCACTCAGGCCTCCCAGCCATAATGGGGAGGAGTGTGCGTGAGTTTTACTAGTAAACTGTTTTGACTTGCCGGTGGAAAAGGAACCGGACTGCTGTTCCCCAGAATAGAAGAAGCGCTTTTTTTTTTTGCTTTTTTTTTTTTGGACCATTTCTCAATTTCATCCTTGCGCAGGGGCCACGCTATTCCAATTTCAACGGACATTCACCACCATTTATATTTTATGGGTACCCCACCTGCACGGATCACATCCAAATGCCTGGGTGCTGTCTGGGCAGTTCGGACTCTGATGTCTGGATCAGCCTGCTGTCTTCGTTGACCATAATGAACAACATGAATAGGGCAAATACACAGCCATTTATAGCACGGGAGCTTCCACCGAACACAACAGACCCTCATCATGAGTGCACACTTGCTATTTTTCCGCTCCTCCATTCGTTTGACTCATCCTTGGTGGATATAAGTAGGTCATGGTAAACGTCGTTAGTGGGGTCTGAGGTTGGCTTCCGCGATAGACAAAGCAATTTGGAGTTCCTCCTTTCTGATTTTACGTTCTGCTGCTATGCTTCTCGACTCAGACGAAGTGGTCTGGGACAGGGTCCGCATAGCTGTCTATGAACCATTGGGGTCGGTTATTTCGCCTCGCCGCTTCCTGACTTATTCTGTATTGCAATTGGTTCCATTTCGAGTGCATTGAGACTACTTGCATGGTCCTGCTGTGGAAGCTTCGCACTATTGTTGAGCTCATTGCACAAATTTCAGTCTAGATATAGTGGTACTGACTGGCCATTCTATTTGGTTGAAGCCGGTAGATGGGCATCTGAAAGTCGACCTGCTCAGATTTGGACAGGTCATCATTGTGCAGAGGAGCTGAGAATAATTCTTAACTGATCCATCACCTCTGTTGGGGACTGGAATGTCATACCTTCTTCCCCCGAATACAACGTATGGTCATTATAGCTGTATTTGAGGCATCTTTCAGTCTAGATACAGTTATAATGACCGTACGTTGTATTCGGGGGAAGCAGGTAGTGCGAGTATCCCTTAAGTCTTTTTCTGCTTCGACAGAATCGATGCATGTCGTTAATCTTTGCCTCACAGTTATGCAGTTTGCACAAATTGCTTTGGCCCATCGAAGGTGCTGGGGTGTTTCTCCTCCCTTCCGGTTGCACTCAAACTCACAATGACCATCTTCTCCTCAAAAACAACATTGGGAAAAAGCGTGACCAGGATCGAAACAAGGGGAGGTTGCCATACATTCCTCTTGCAACGCCGAGAATGCTCCTGTCGGAATGTTCCCGGACTTCATAATGGCAAGATACATGATCCGAAGTGGGGGGTATGTCCCACTTCAGTTTGACCAGGGCATTGTAATCTTCGTAGATTGAATGTCTCAATGTCAGGGATTTTTCTTGAGCCCAGTCTGAACAAGATCTGAAGAAGGGAATCTTGGGCAGACGTAATTGTCCAATCTCTTGATGACGTGGTGAAGGCCCTTGACATGATTCCTGACACTCCTGCCTACTTGCCATCAGACCCCACAAGAGGGATGACATGCTAAGTGTGCATGAACCTGGTCTCCATTTTCAGCCCGGAGGATGCTGACATGGCAAGTAATTTCATTTGTGGGGCCTTGGTACAGGTGTGATGATATGTCCCTTCCTTCCTCTATTGAGACATAGAGAAATTGCCCTCTTTCACCACCTCAGACCTGAACCTGCAACCTTTCATATAGATTATCCCAGATGGTTGTGATTATCGTTGTTGGGACTTGTCTTAGCATACTGGCTTACTGGGGGCTGCTGGTATTTTTGTTTTGGAAAGACCGGCCAACCGTCTTGCAGGGTCTTTGGGGATGGCCATTCCTGAGCCCTGTACGCTATGGTAACCGTGGCCTGCCAAGTCTGGCTGCATTTTTTTTCAGCGGCTGACAGATGTCCTGGTGATCTAAACCACTAGTATGTATAGGTGGTCCTCAACACCAAAGTAGTGACTAAAGTAGCCCTAATTTTCCTATTTTGGACTGCCAGAAATGTATGGGACTAGGGCTTGTTGGGTTGGCAGGGCAGTTCAGTTGTAGTGGCGGTTTAAACCACCATCAGTGCCCCACCAAGCTACCCGCGAGAATGTGCCGGTCGACACGGTGCCACGGAAAGGCCTGACTTATGAGGCCAAAGAGTCTGGCGGCCCCGAATAGGCCCTTGCCCTCGAGGCTCAGTATTTTAGGGACTGGCAAAATTTAGCATTGGAAAAAGAGGCTCGGAGGTACTGGTGCCAGTATCCCTCTGAGCTACTGCGAGAGATGCACTGGTTATACTACCAGTCCCTCGAAGCCGCTTTTCTCAACCCTGATAGGATCATAGCATGCCCTACCTCCTGGATCTGAGAGTGGTACGACATGGTGCATTCCCGCCTCCCGACGCCCTCTCGCCTGGGCAGGGCGGGACATGAGTTCAATCTCCCCTCTACCCTGCTGCCTGCAGGCCTGGCCTT